AAAAAAAAAAAAAAAAAAAAATCATTAAAAGTTCTTGTGGGTTGTTAATTATTCAATAAATCCCACTTAAAATTGATAACCTATTGTTTGAACCTAAAATTCCCATTTAACAACCCACCCTTTTCTCCAAAAAACAACAAACCCACATTTAGTCCGAAACTCCCAAGCAATTAGAGAAAACAAATGGACTGACATTATTTGAAGCGAACATCCTCAAACTAATCCCCTTTTCTTTACAAGCACACAAGTGAAAATTGAGGCAAGAATAATTTCAATTAAATTTAAAGAAAATTAAAATCAGAAAATGATAAATAAAAAATCCGTCACACAAGACAAAATGTTAAAATGGTCCAGCCCCTTCAAATTTGGACAAACCGATCCAGCCAGTGTTGGATAGTCACCCGAGAGTTTATTTCATGTCACTGTTGGACAATCATTGGACTAGTTTGTCCAATTTTTTGGAGAAGCTAGACCATTTTGTATTGGTGGATTTGTCCTTTTATGATTAAGCCCCAAGGAAAAACATACAAACATATTGTCAATTTTCCTCTTCTAAACTTAACAAGGCCACCACAGAAGACCAATTTTTGGGTTAATTCTTCAGCAGCTATGTGAAGGAGAGCAACATGACTACTTCTCATCATAAGCTCAAATGGCGAAAGAATCTTCTGCAAAAATGGCAGTGGCTGTCGGACGGTAATTAACGTTAACACCAATTAACATTAACATCATTTCATTTGTCCGTACCACCACTTATACCAATGCCATGTGGTACTACTGTAGTATTGTATAATTACGTGCTTTTCACAAGTAGGTCCATTTTAATATGACATTTTATACAAAAATCCTAGAAAGCCTATTTGAATACCTCAACTAGCCACTTGTCAATTTCTAATTTGTTCTTAGTGTGCTACATTTTTTCACTTGAAAGTACAACATTGAGTTTTGTTAAAGTATTGGACTTGAATGGTTTTTTTTTATATATCTCCCTTTTTATCCACTTACACTCCATTTTTTCTAAACAAAAAGGAGTGTAGGTGGATAAAAGGGGAGTGGGAAAATCATTTACCATTATAAAATGTCATGTTAAAATAGGCATATTTGTGAAAAGCTAAATAAATAAAAGGTTTTATAAAAAAAGAAAAAAAAAGAAAAAATTCAGTTAAATTATATGAAGTTCAGTGTAATTACAATCAGACCTTTTTTGTTAATTAGTTGCTATTTACATAAATCTAAGCATCAGATTAATCTTTAAAATGTAGAATTAAAGAAAAACTCGAATTAAATAAACATTTTGAAAAACATGATCTAAAAGACTCAATTATATCTTCTTTCCAAATATTAACATGATCTAAAATTGCATCTACGTACATTAGCGCTTGGCTTTTGTTAACTTATGCCCTTTGAGGCTCTGTAGTTTTTGGACTGTCTTGTCAACTACCAGGTACACAATTTTGTCATATTTTTTTCTTGAAGCTAATATTGTAACAGAGGAGTTGGCTAATCTCACGCATTTGGTTTTTCGTTTTTTGTTGCTTGTAAAATGAAGTACGATTTGCGGAAGTTAGGAACTCAGTGAGGATCTTATTTTATTTTCAAAGAAAAATAAGTGGTTAAATGTTTTTTTTATTACATAAATATAAAATGTCTAAAATTAAGGATTAACTAGTAACAAGCCTGAGGTTCTTCATATAAAAAAGAAATAGTAACAACCATATTGGATTAACAACTGGTTAAAAATACATATTATTCTTAAATTTCAATAAAAGTATGTAATTGAATAAGAAAAACTAAAAAATATCAAAACCCAGACCGAGCCAACCCTTTCCTAGGGTTGAGTGTCGGTTTGAAATTAATATAATTTAGTCAATCCGAATCCAATCCAATATAAATGAAATTATGATTTTTCCAATCCAATCATATCATATTAGAGTTTTAGAAAATTTGGCATAAGTCCAATTATGAGGAGAGATTTTGGGTGCAATCCACGCAGAAATTGTTGTTGATCTAGGCCCCGTTTGGGATTGCTTTTTTTGGCCAAAAACCTGCTTCACTTTAAAGTTAAGCAGTTTAAGGTGTTTGGTAAAAAGAAAATATCCTGATTATTTTAAAAGTAATGGCCTTTTGACAGCAGCTTTTAAAAGCAGGCTCTGAGTTGCTTTTTAAAGTTGCTTTCAAAAGAAGCAGAGATGAACATTTAATGAATTTTTTTGATTCCCAAAATACCATCATTCATTTTAAAAAATGACACCCCCTCCACTTCCACATCCAACTCCACCACTTGCACCACCACATACACTACCTCCACAACCACCGCCACCACCACCACCACCACATCCTCCTCCTCCTCCTCCTTATCCTCCACCACCACCACACCACAACCACCACCTCCTCCTTCACCTCCACCTCCACCACCACCTCCACAACCAACACCACGACCACCACGACCACCACATCCTCCTCCTCATCCTCCTCATCCTCTGCCACCACCACCTCATCCACCACCTCCACCACCACCATGCTACCATTGCCACCGCCGCCACCACCTCCACAACCGCGCGCCATCCCCACCACCACCAACTCCACCTTCATCACCACCACCACCTCCACTCCATCACTACAACTACCACCACATGATTAGTACATAACACTTTTAACATCATGTCTATTTAGTCATTATTCACATTTACAACAATTTTATATTAAAATTTACCAAACGTTTTTTACACTGCTTTTTGTACTAACAGCACTTTAAAAATATTATTTACCAAACATGGAGCTGCTTTACTTTACAGTTAATTATTTTCAAAGCACAGCAGAAGCAACTTCTTAAAAAAGTGACAGCAATCCCAAACTGGGCAGTCATTTGACTTTTGAGCCACATAAGATTACATGCCTATTTCAATTTATTGATATTTACTTTTTTTTATTTTTTATTTTTTGTTCCAGTTATGCACCTAAAACATAAATAAGGTAAATTATGAATTCCTAAAACTGGTAAGTTATTGATTTGTAGGATATTAATTATCATATTTGATTTGAATTTAATTGCAAATCTATTTATTGAATTCTGAAATGGTATACCGACATCAAAATTTATAATAAGAGTTCATAAAAACTTCATACCTTAACAATAGGTAAGGTACCTATGCATACACCTCGTATGCAGTATGCAGGTAATTAAACCCATAAATTACCTCTAGTCTAGGTAGTTATACCCTCTAACCCAGCTAATTGAACTCATATAATATCTTGGTATGGATCCTTAAACTTAACTGAGATAAAAATCCATACAAAATTTATTGG